AGGGCCATAGTCCTGGGGGTCCCACCAGACTCCATCCAACCAATAATTCTGGTCATTATTGTGTTTTTGGATCTTGTCCAATGTTTTTCCTCCCACTCTATCCAGGATCTCCAGTTTTGATCCCTTCCCGAGTGGTTGGCATTGGTAGCCAGGCACCATCTAGTTCTTTTGATCTCAAGGTCCATCATGTCCTTAGGCTGATTGTTTCCAAATGCTCTTGGTTTTTTGCACTCTTCTTTGCGTCCGATGATAGGAGACCATTAGCGGCATTACAGATGGCTGCTTGAAAGCTTTTAAAACCCTAGTCACTGCTCACCAATGTACGCGTGAAACAAGATTTTTATGTATTTTATTGTGCCAATTGAGTCTGATGTCCCTAAATACTATGGTCCTGAGTCAACAGATTCATTGGATCTCTCTCCCAAAGTGTCTGGCTGTTATGAGGGTGTGCTCTATATCTGTCTTCTGTTGTTTCTATAAGGATTGCAGGTATTTTGTATCACTGGTATCTGTGGAAGATTAGCCTCAGCTGAATCTGTCTTTGATCTAGAATATAATTCTGTTCACTGACCCCCATCTGATCTTCTCAGTTGTTTGTGTGTTTATCTGTAGTCTGGTGTTTGGTATTAATGGTAATGCAGTATTGTGGATACACTGGTATTAACCTCTGTCATCTGTACCGTAAGTGCACAATTCGGTCCCCTCCCTTTCCCCAATGTTATCATGCTCATCACAGACTCTTTCCATACCATCCCTCCTCTTACTCACCTCAGTGTGTGGCCCCCAACTAGCCTGAAATTATTCCCTTCCCTTCCCTCCCCTCCCTGGTAACCTACAAAGTGAGTTCCCTTCCTTAAGCAAACCCTTCCTTGTCTTTTTACAGTAACGGGTTCATACAATATTAGTCTTTCTGTGATTGACTTATTTCACTCAGCATAATGTCGTCCAGGTTCATCCACATTGTGAGATGATTCATGTATCCTTAATTGTTCTTTAATGTAGCATAGTATTCCATTGTGTGAATGTACCATAGTTTGGTTATCCATTCATCTGTTGATGGGCATCTAGGTTGTTTCCATCTCTTTGCTGTAGTGAATTGTGCTGTGATGAACACTCTTACTCAACAATTCTAACAATTAGAAAAAGAACAACAAAGAATCCCACTGTATCCAGAAGTAAGGAAATAATAAAGATCAGAGCAAAAATAAATGAAACAGAAAACAAAACAGAGAAAATCAACAAAACAAGAAGCTGGTTCTTCGAAAAGATTAAAAAAATTGACAAACCATTGCCAAATTTAACAAAACCAAAGACAGAAAAGACGCAGACAACAAGAATAATAAACGAAAAGGGTGACATCACAACAGAACCAACTGAAATAAAAAAGAAACTGACAGAATATTATGAAGAACTGTACTCCAACAGATTTGAGAACCTAGACAAGATGGAAAAGTTTCTAGAAACACAAGACCTGCCTAAACTATCCCACTCAGAATACTTGAACAGACCTATAACAAAGGAAGAAATTGAACAGGTCATTAAAAAAAAAAACTTCCCCTGATTTACTCAAGGTAGATACACTCCTTGGAGAGAACACTCATGGGAGAAAGAAGGGCTATTTATGCACAGGAAAACAGCTCAGGGGGCAGGAGTGCACGGAGGGTTGGACACGGAAGAGGTAAGTAACTATCGGGAGGAAATGGGAGGGGAGCTGTTGCATTGGGGTAAATTGTAGTCAATGGTCAATGTCATGAGACGAAGTGTATGTGAACTGCTGCATGGAAAGTGAATTTGCTCTGTAAACTTTCACCCAAATCACAATTAAAAAAAAAAAAAAAAAATCCTAGCCAACAGAATCCAGCAACATATCAAAAAAATAATACATCCTGGACAAGTGGGATTCATACCTGGTATGCAAGCATGGTTCAACATCAGAAAAATAATCAATGTAATCCACTACATAAACAAAACAAAACAACCATATGATCATCTCAATCGATGCAGAAAAGGCATTTATTAAAATCCAACACCCGTTCCTATTCAGAACCCTCAGAAAAATAGGGATAGAAGGGAAACTCCTCAACATAATAAAGGGCATATATGCAAAGCCAGCGGCCAACATTATTATTAACTGAGAAAGACTCACAGCATTCCCCTTATGAACGGGAACAAGACAGGGATGCCCTCTCTCACCACTTCTATTTAACACTGTATTGGAAGTCCAGAGCAAAAAGGCAAGATAGACAAATAAAAGGCATCCAAACTGGTAAATAAGAAGTAAAGTTATCTTTATTTGCAAATGATATGATTCTATACGTAGAAAACCCAAGAGACTCAGCAAAAAAAACTACTGGAACCAATAGAGAGGTTCAGCAAAGTATCAGGATACAAGGTCAACATACAAAAATCAGTTAGATTCCTCTACAACAACAAAGACACCTCTGAAAAAGAAATAAGGGAAACAATACCATTTACAATAGCAACTAAAAAGATAAAATATCTAGGAATAAATCTTAGCAGAGACACAAAAGACCTATACAAAGAAAAGTATAAAGCATTACTACAAGAGACAACGAGGACTCTACATAAATGGAAGAACCTGCCTTGTTCATGGATAAGAAGACTGAATACTGTGAAAATGTCAGTACTATCCAAAGCAATCTACTCATTTAATGCAATCCCAATCCAGATACCAACAAAAATTTTTAAAGGACATGGAAAAACCATTTTTTTTCATATAAGGAAAGAGACCTCAGATAAGCAAAGTGCTACTAAAGTAGAAGAACAAAGTGGGAGGTCTCACACTCCCAGATCTCAAAACCTACTGTACTGTCACAGTAGTCAAAACAGTGTGGTATTGGTACAATGATAGACAGATAAACCAATGTAACAGAATCAAAAGCCCAGAAATAGACCCATCCCTCTACGGACAGCTAATCTTTGACAAAAGTCCAAAACCCATTAAATGGGGGAAGAGATAGCTTCTTCAACACATGGTGCTGGGAAAATTGGATATCCATTTGCAGAAAAATGAAACAAGACCCGTACTTCACCCCATACACAAAAACAAACTGCTTATTTAGAAATAAAAAAAGGCACGGCCAGCTCTCCATTTTAAAACACAAGCATAATACAAATCAAAATGGCAATAACAAAAGATCTGTCCGAAGCATGATCATTTCAGCAATCTACTTTTAAGATGATGAATACAGGAGCAATCAATCATGGGAGAACAGGGCAGTGTTTGCACAGAGAGGTATGGGACAGCAGGGGGGAGGGGGGCGGGAGTGCATGGGCGGGAAGGACATATGAAAGAGGTAACTATGGGGAGGAAGTGGGAAGAGAGTTGTTACATTGTGGGGAATTTCAGTCAATATCATGAGACAAAATCTGTATGAACTCCTGTATGGAAAATCAATTTGCTCTGTAAACTTTCACAAATCACAATAAAAATAATAAATAAAAAGATGAAAATAATTATTTTATGGCCTGATTTACAAGATTAGAATAGTCAGTAAATGCAGTTGCAAAAGCATAATTTAAATGTATATATACTTAAGTAATAACAGAAAGCCTTCACCAAGGAGAATGTTCCGATCTTCACTGCATCTGAAACTGAGGTTATGCCACAGTTTGATACAAGACACTGCACTGAAGAGGCATTTAAAAACCACCACTGGTCTGATTCAGACAAGGATCTCTCACTTCAGACCATTTCATTGTTGAATTAAATTATTTCTAACCTCACTCAAAATCCACCTTTTTGACTCACACAAAAGGAGTGTGTTTTTTATTTTCAAATATGCTCATCAAAATAAACTGGCATCATTGAGTCTAGTCCGACTCACGGTGACTCTGTGTCAGGGTAGTAGTGCTGCGTTCCACAGGGTATTCAATGGCTGATATTTTCGAAGCTGATCGTCAGGTATTTCTTCCAAGCCACCTCTGGGTGGACTAGTACCTCTAACCTTCCAGTGAATTTAATCACCTGCACCAGCTAGGGAGTCCTTTACCACTATTAAACCAACACCTAACCCACTGTCATCAAGTCAAGTCCATCGGATACAACCAAAAAGGACAAAGTCGAACTGCCCCACAAAGGGCTTCCAAAGCTGTAAATCTTCACAAAAGCAGATTGCCACTTCTTTCTCCCAAAGAAGAGTTCCTGGTGGATTTGAACTGCTGACCTTTTGGTTAGCAGCTTAGTGATTAACCACTGCATCACCAGGGCTCCGCCTATCATTATTAGACCCTCTGTTTTATGCCTGTTTGTCTTCGTGTCCACCAAACCAAAAAAAAAAAAAAAAAAAGAATTAAACTCACTGCTGTCAAGTCAGATCCGACTCATAGTGACCCCTCTTTGGGTTTCCAAGGCAATACCTCTACGGAAGTAGATCACCCAGTCTTCCATCCAAGGAGTGGCTGGTGGGTTTGAACTGCCAGCCTTCTGGTTAGTAGTCAAATGCCTTATGCACTATGCCACCAGAGCTCCCAGATTTAGGATGCCCCCAGTTTTTAGTCTGATTCCTTACTGTGGCTAAATTAATCACTCGTTCAGTCCTAGGTTGCTCTCTTTGACTTCTATCATGGAAAGACAACTGGACCAAAGCTAACCTCAGGGCCTAACAATGCCTTTGAGATGAGCAAGGGAAAGGAAGCAGGGGCACTGCTAATGTATCTTTGCACTCCACTGTAGTTTCCTTACGTATCTCCAGTTGGTGTGGTTCCAGTTATTTCAGTTGTATTTGGTTGTTCATTTTCCCCAGTGGCTGATCATAGTTATCTGATACTTTGGATGTCTGGAACACACTTGAATAAAAATTTTTCTTTAGGGGGTTAAGTTAGTTCTTTTCTGTGAATCAACTGACAGGCATTTAGAGACCTCAGGAGGATTTCTGAACACACCAGACTGACTAAATTGTTAAGTATCTTGTCTGATGAGATAAACACGTCACTGCTAAGACCCGTACATATTGGTTAATGATTTTCCAAATATTTACCAAGATCTTTAATAAGTGAGAGTGCTTCCCAGGATATGAAGGCTCCACCACCATCATCCATGGCACCCTGCCCAACATCCCAGCTGTCCAGATGTCCACTGACCAGTACAACCTAGAACAAATAATGAAAAGAGAAAAAACATAAAACTAAGCAGGAATGGCATCAAAGAGTAAACTTTCATAGACATTCCAAATACAAAAATGAAATTTTCATGTTTTCTTTTGTATTCTTCAGCCTTAAACAATATGTGTCATTATGAGTGGAAACAGTTTAGAGACATTACATACAGTGCAAGGTCTTCCTAATAATAATAAAACTCCTCACCTTGTACCTCTCTTTATAATATAATTATGAGTACTAGCGAAAAATGGCTTATTACTGACAGATGTCTGACAACTTTATTATATGGCTTAAAATCAAAATGACATAAAAATGGAGCCCAAAATTTGACCATATACTGAACTGTCCCAAATTTCAGTAAACACATAATAAACATGTGTTGAACTGAACTTTTTTTTTTTTTTTTTTAAAAAGGACAATTTACTTTTTAAAAAACAACTGTTTTGTGTATTATGGTAGTTTAGTTTGTGGGTCAACTTGGCTGGGCCTGGTTGAGTGGCTGGGTAGCTGGTGGTAGTTAATCCCCATGAGGAGACTGTCAATCAACTCCATGGTGGAATCTACCATAAGCAGGTGGGTAGCTGCCTTTGGGTATGTAGTCTGCTTCCTTTATATAAGAAGAAACCTTTGGGTGTGGTCTCTAGCCTTTGGCTCACTTGGATCCTACATGTAGCCGTGTTGTTGCTCAGCAGCCTGCTATGCTCTGCCGACCTTGGGACTTACAATGGACTTAAGTTAATGGCCTGCCGTGTGAATTGGTAACATCGAGACTGTGCCTTTTTACTTGTCAACCCTGGGGCTTCTCAGCCTCAGCAGCCAGCAGCTGTCTGAGTGAAGAAACGCCTCTAACTCCAGTGGGCCGGGAGCAGGAGGCAGAGCTGGACCCCAAGGTTGAAGGGCTTTCACCCAGCCCCTAGAGCCTGGCACTTTGAACTTGGACTTAAAGCCTCCAAATTGTAAGAGAATAAACTCCTGTTTGTTAAGGCCATCACATTTGTGGTATATTCCTGTCAGAGCAGCACTAGGTAACCAAAACATATATTATAAGTTACTCTAGTGTTAAATAAGTAAATTTGCTACATTTACAAACTAGAGGCTAAGTGTTTGAACAGAAAGACTTTTAAGAGAAATTTCAGTTTACATTAATGTTAAATAAAGCTAGGGATTATATTACAAATCTTAAATTATCATAGGTTTATTTTTTTTCAAGAAGCATTAGTAATTAATCTATAGAAAATTATAAAAATATAAAATGTATTTCACTGGAACTAAACTTTATGGGCACATTTTCAACAAGTTAAAAACCAACTAAAATTATGCCGGGTGTCATTTAGGAAAAGAAAACTCTGTGATCTCTATGCCACAGAGGTCAAGTCAGATATATTGCAGAACTAAATACAAATGTTAGAGGCAAGCACAGGGGTCAGCTTTGTCAAGGTGGAAGAAGCAAAGAATTCCTAAACAGGACACAAATAGCACAAACCATACGAAAGCAATAAATTGGACTATTTAAGAATTAAAATTATCTGTTCATCAAAAGACTGCTAAGAAAGTAAAAAAGTAAGCCACAGAAGAGGAGAAAATAGCACAGTATATATGCACCAAAGACTCATGTCCAGATTACTTGAAACGGTAAGAAAAAGTCAGTCAACTAATAGAAAAATAAGCAAAAGGCTTGAACAGACACTTTACACAAAAGATATACACATAACTAGTAATCGTATCAATCAGCTTCATGATTATCAGGGAAATGAAATTAAACCTCATTACAATATATACTCACCAATATGCCTGAAATAAAAAAGAAAATGCCGAATATTGATGAGGAGATTGAGCAACTGGAGCTCTTAAACATTTCTGGTTAAGTACATAAACCATTACAGAAAACTGGCTACAGCTACTACATATGAACATAAATATACCCTATTACCAAGCAATTCAACTCCCAGTATATATCCAAAGGAAGTAGGTATATGTGTGTGTGCATGTGTGCATACGTGCATGTGTACACATGTGTGCACTTTCACCAAGAGATGTACTATAATGCTCATTACAGATTATTCATAATACTCCCCCCCAAAAAAGGAAAACCATTCACATGGCGGTCAGCAGGATGAATAAATTGTGCTGTATTCATTAATGAAACACTGCATATCATTAAGAATGAACAAACTCATCTACATGTAAAATTTGGATGAATCGCATAAAAATAATGAAGGAAGTAAGATACAAGATAATACATCTTGTATGATTCTATTGATATAAAGTATAAAAACAAGCCAACAAGGAAAGTGGTTACCCTTGGTGAGGAGGGTTAAGTAACAGGAAGGGGCACAGAGTGTCTGAGGTGCTTGTCATACTGTTTCTTAACCTGGGTGCTGATTACCCAGGTGTGCTCAGTTTGCAAAGGTTCATCTTCTTGTCATCCACATAGGCTTTCTGCACTTCTCTGAGTATATGTCAGGCAGTACCCATGTTATGAATGTCCAACTTATGTACAACCTGTAGCATGAACCAACACCTGTAAAACCATAAAATTCGAGGCACACACAATGGTTCGTAACAACATGTGTGTGCCACCTTATCATGCACATCAAAGCATGATTATTATTATTATTATTACTGTAATATTATGTTAAAGATGTTTTGATGTATCTAGTTTGTTTCTTTTTTTTATGCATGGAGAGATATACTTTATACTATACACTAAGACAAACATTTGACTAACTGATATCAAATACAAACTGTACCCAATTGTTCTGATGTACATACGAATTTGACTTAAAGATACACTTGGGAACAGAATTTGTTTGTAATCCAGGAACTGCCTATATACTATTACACCTCACTAAAAAGTTTAACAACAATAACAAAGTTTAACATATTGATGTCTACACACATCATGTAGAAAGCAAAACAAAGTGGAGCCAATCTTCCTGATGATTAAAATAAAAATACATCATGACTTTGGGGAAGCAGGATTTTTAAAGAATCGGGTGACTACTTGCATGGCCTTATTCACTGAGCAGCTGCAGGATCTCCTTTGACTCTGTATACAAAGTCAGCCTAGTATGACTTCATTTTACTCACAAACAAGCCCAACAAATGACCATGTAATGGACCCAAATGAATTGTTTCTAAGGAAAAAAAGAAGAAATAAATAAAGAAAAAAAAACATGTTGCAATAGTGGGAAATTTTGATTTAGAAAGTGGTGTAATCCCATATGGGACCAATAGCCCAATTAGTCAACATTCTCACCTACCTCAACACCATTTTCCTGATGAAGTTAAAGTCACAATGGATTAAAAGTGTCAAAATGTTTTTTTCTTAATGAATTCTTTCTCAGATAGCATGTGAAAGTAACTAAATCAAAGCAGCTACTGTTTTAAACTTAAGACTTCCTTAGGAATGATTGAAGGTTTTTTTTAACCGTATTTCTTTATGCTTTATTAAATATCTCCATTCTCTCATCCAGAATAGATGGAAAAAATGGTTTTAAATGATTGGAAATTAAATTGTATCCCATAGGATAAGACTGTTTGCACAGTGCCATGGAAGAATAATTGCAAACCTTCTGGACTATGAGACCTTAATTTAATATTTTTTTTTTAATCAGAAAAAAAATTTAAGATCTTAAGAGCCACAATAAGATAGCAGTTTTAATTTAATATCTATTAATTCAAAAACTAGGTAATAATAAAAGTCTCCTAATTTGATAGTAGTTTTTAATTAACTGGAAATGGTAGTTAAAAAAAAAAAAAAAAGCTCATTCAAATGGTGTCTGGCTGGCATTTCATAATTCAGCTTCACAAAAAATAACCCAACAAAACATACAAACCCACTACACTACTGAAAACCCACCTTATGTCGGGGGCAGGTAGGAATGAACATTAATTTTAAGACAGTTGGGTCTGGGTTAAGCAAATAAAATAAAACAAAAACAAACTACTTAGGCATATAATAAACTCCAGTTTCATAAAAAAGAATCATCTTATAAAACAGGAAAATGCACAGTCCCACCATTGCCTCTGTTGCTAGATATAGAACCTCTAGAAAATAACATGGCCAAGACCAACGGAAGTGGTACCCACTCATCTACCCCCTAGACCAATTCATCTATCCCTCTCCTGTGTTGCTCCTGGAGCTGGCAGAGCACTGACTAATCCTATACCACTACCCCAATTTCCTTTCCACCACCATCTCCTTCATATGCAGGCAAAGAGTACAAATGATTAAAATAACAGCAATAGTAATAGTAGCCACCACAGAACCACTAGGAAGGCAGAACAGGAACTGGCAGTGCACTGAAATGTAGGGTTCCTTATTTGTGAGCTACAGGGAGTTGAGACAAACAAGCGACAGGAAGAAACAGCAGTGAACTGTGTGACTGATAACTGTACTTCTTCATGTGCTATACTAGCTTCAACTACCAAAGACTTGTGCCCTGGAGTGGGAGGTAGGCTTCTTAGTAAGGCAGAAACGTGCTGGAATGATTGGAAGGATCACACCAGAAAACCAAACTTCCTGCCATTGAGTCAGTTCTGATTCACAGCAACCCCCACTGGGTTTCCAAAGTGGTAAACATTTGTGGAAGTAGATTGCTGCATCTTCCTTCTGTGGAGTGGCTGGTGGGTTTGAAATGCCAACCTTCTGGTTAGCAGTCAATGCCTTAGGCACTGCTCCACCGCAGCTCCTTTCTAAGGCGCTATTTCTGAAAATGAGTGGTGAAACGTGTGATCTTTTGGTTATTATTCTTTAGACTATTCATAGATGTTAAATAGTTTGCATGTGTTCCATATTAAGCAATGGCAAGAGTTATCAAAGACCTACCTTTGAAATTATGAGGTTCAAATGGTTATATAAGTAAATTCAACCCAACTTTAAAGGTCAGATTTATCTCGTTTTATTCCAACTATTCCAATGCAAAGAAAAATAAACTTACAAAACTGTCACAATCTTGATACCAAAGTCTGACAATAATAGCATTTTC